GTTTACTTTATTGAAAAAAATACTATACTACACATCAAAGTACATCCATAAGAACTCAATTCTCATGCATTGAAATAAAATAATTGACAAAGATTTTGTCCTCAGATGAACAAATTTCACTTCAAGTAAACAAATCTAAGACTCACAAGAAACAAAGTACAAAGTTTATCTTTGAGTGTTAATTAGCTATTTAAAATCTATTTCTTTTGTCAAGGATTGTCTTCATAATAATAGGCAGTCCTGCAATATAAATAGTAACTATATGAATTAAGATAGAATCAATTATTTATCATATATTTTGTTCTTTGAACATATCTCTCTTTCAAACTCAATATTCTCAAAACACATATCTCTCTTTCAAACTCAATATTCTCAAAACACATTATAATATTTATCTCAAAATACTCTTTAACTTGGAACTAAAGTTTATATTTCTCAAATTTTTTAACAATTCTAGATTGTCACAAGTCATGAATGAATTAACTATAATAATATTTGAATTTAAAAGACAAATTAAATTCATAATTTAAAAAAAAAAACTATATTATTAAAATAAAATTTTATTCATCCACTAAATTGACTTTTAAATACAAATTTAAGTTTATAATGACAATCTAAAATAGTTAAAAGTAAATAAAAAATATCAATCTTCACCAAATTCGTCCCCTTTAAATTCACGTATCTTTCAACATCATTGAAGATTTGTAAGTTCAGATCATATTTTCTTATTATTCTTTATTTTTTCTTATCTTTTGAGGTATTTATCAAATGAGCAATATTTTATTTTCTCTTGCTTCAATCTTTCCTTTATTGCACTTTATAAAATTATTCTATTAAAGAATAATTTCTAACTTTAATAGTTATAAACTTAATTGTGCAAAGAGAATATCATATGCTAAATTTTCGACAAAGTCACCTAATTGACGAAACTATAGCGCTTTAGCAAGATTAAATAGTTTCATAATATGCTTATGATATTTTCTTTACTTAATAATCTTAACGAAAAGTCATCACTCCAATGAGAGTTTGTTTTTCACTTTATTGCTTTAGAAGCACTAGATTTTAAGCAAAAATAATATGATAAAATTTATGTCATCTTAAATAACACATCTAATATCTCTGAATTGCAAAACTTTAAGATTATCGAATTGTGTAATTTAAAGTGTACTCACTTTTAAACTTGAGTCTCACTTTAAATTCATAAAATCAAAATCTAACTTATTTTAGAGATATATAAACTATATTAGTTTATTGAGAACAAAAAAATGCACTCGCCCAACCCAAATATCAAGTTCACCATTGACATTAAGTTTTTAAGGTAATAAAATCAATTGTTAGTAATATTTATTTTTAATGATCAAACACTGATAATTAATATTTATAAATAATAAATTCTTACAATCGTCACTTGTTTACCTTATATGCCACTTGTTTACCTTATATGTGTGAGTGCAATCAAATAAACACATGAAAGATTTACACTCATACAACATCATTAACTATATGATAATAAATTATTATACATAGACAATCATCTTTACTTATAAATTAACTGTAAACGGTACATGATCAAACATTAGTAATAAGTTCGTCCAAATAATGGAGGTCTTTGACATCATATTTATCATCACATATATGCAATTGTTCGGTCAAATTATGTCTTTTCTGTCTTCCTTTTGGCCGACCGTTCGCATGAACAATTACACACTACATCTTTTACAATTTCGATTGAATCAAACTTACACAACAAAAGTTATCTTTGCAACATGTTGCTTCAACCAACTCAACTAAAATTATTAGACACTTTAAGCACAACCAACTCAACTAAAATTATTAGACACTTTAAGCACTACTCACAAATAAATATAAGTCGTATTCATTTAGGATGTCGTTTGATAATAATAATAATAATATTTCTTGAAAGTCCTTAGTGTGTGAACAAATTCATAATAAAACATACTTCCTCCATTCTCTTTTATAAGAAAATTTTAACTTTTTAGATTCATTGAATAAACAATGTATTTAGACTATATATAAGTTAGATACATCAATTATTAAATTAATCTAAAAAGTTAAAATTTTGTTATAAAAGAGAATAGAGAGAGTAAATTTTATAAGTTTATACAAATTACATAATTAAAAAAATTATTGTATAAAATTTAATAAAAATAACCTCAAATAACATAATCCTCTTAAATGTATAATTTCAAATCAGATAAATATTAAATATTTATAGATCCAAATTAAATGTCAAACAAATCCATTCTTTAAAAACAAATTTACATATGCAGCAAATAATTCTTTAAATAAATTATTTTAGAATCAACAAAATCCATTCTAAAATCCAAAGTATCCAAAATTTAAAGAATCAAATCTTTAGTTTTACCTTATAATTTTGAGAGATATTTAAAATATTCAAAAAAATTCATAAATAGTATATAATAACCAAATATATATTAAGTAAATTAGTATTTATTTTATCTCTCAAAATCGAATTCATGTGCAGATTTTATGTGAATCAAATTTAAATATAAAATAATAATTAAAAAATAAAATAAAAAGATTTGATAGTAAGATTTTTTTTTAATTCAAAATCAAGAATCAAATTACCAAAATAAGATTTAAATTCAATATTTATCTTTTCCAAATAATTGACCTAGATGTATATTTCTAAATATATTATTTATATCCATAAACAAAGTATTGAGAATCAAAATTCTTTAAAAGAAAATAGATTTTAGGATTCTTAATCATCGATCATAAGCATATATGTGATTCCAAATATATTTAGCATAATATATATTAAATGACACATCTCCTAAAGAAAATCAAAATTCAAACTCAAGAATTCATATAAAAGATATGGAAGATCTTAATTCCATATAAATCTTTGAAAAATAAATATAACGCACAGAACATAAACTCCATAGTAAGTGAACAAAAAATTACTAAAAAATTATCATTAAAACTTCATGCATCATAAAACATATATATCAATATTAAATAAAAAAACAGGAATTGAAAATATTGAAAATATATGTTTTCATGATAAAAATAAATAAACATTAGTGTTTAGAGAACAAATCTCAATAAACTAAACATGAAGATCTGCTCTGATATTACTTGTTGAAATTAATTCAATAACAATTAATCATATATACATGTTCTATATATTATACCATATATTTTAGTGCGGAATATAATAAAAAATTATGAACATATGTATATAACTATAGGATCTATGACACGTTAGTATACGAGATATGAGACTTCAGAAATACCTGAATCCATAAGATAAAAAAATACTTTTGACAATGATAATTGTAATCCTGAAACGCAAAAGTGTAGATACAAGTGACCGACACTTGTTGGCTTATGGATCTTCATCAACTGATACTCATAATGCCTTGAACACTCTTTAGATAGGGAGAAGGGATTATTTTACTTGTGTACAGTATATTGAGGATCATAGCTTTTATATAGTGTGATGACCAATTAGGATTCTCATTATTTCCAAATGGACTATCCTATCATCCACTCATATTTGAGTCAATATTCAATTATTTAATTAATTAATTAATTAATTAATTAATTCCTAAATAAAATCTAAATAGTTTTTTAACATTATTTGATCACATAATTATTTAAGACACCTTATTTAATAAAATAGCTAATATAATTAAATAAAAATATATTTGGCCACATAATTATTTGAATACTAATATAAGACTATATTATTAAAATATTTCAACATATATTTCTCACTTCTTTCGCATGTCAATGTCACAAATGCACCTCTTCTATCCAGACTATTGTCGGACCTTCCGATTACAACATCAAACCCCAGTTTGGATACCAATGTATGAATCCATTGAAGCATGTGATCACGAAATTCAAACTCTTGTTCAAGAGACACAATAAATTTAGAAAAAACATCGGGATGCACAATATCTAACGAAAACAAAAATATAAAATACTCAGAAACATCTAAAATTGAAAACAGATCGCTGAAAAATGAGAATAGACAACATCCAAAAATGCATCTCCGAATGAATTTATAGAGAATTCAAAAATATATTTTCGGATACAATGTAACTTTTTTCAGCTTAAAAAGAGCATTAATGTGATCAATAAGACTTGGAATGAAAGAACTTTACCTTGAATTCCAACTTTTTTCCCTCCTTCTGATTTGATGAAATGCAAGATAAAGTTTTGGAGTGAATATCTCAATTAAGAATGAAAGGATTTTTGAAAAGAGTTTATGAAATTTTATGAAATCTAATCATGCAGGTGATTGTTTTTAGCAATTACACATTTGATTTTTTCAGAGATGTATCTCTGAAATAATCTGATCAAATTTCTGCTTCAATTATTCAGAGATACATCTCCAAATATCTCACTGATACACGTAACAAAAAATTCATTACATACTATGCAACGAAAATGTATCTCCCAAGTCAAATTGTATTTGACTGTAGGGTGACGGTATCTTTGTGTGTGCATTGTAATACAAACTGTACATCCAAAAATGTATTTCCGAAAATATATTTCTAAAAACTAAGAGATATTTTCGATTTTTCATAGAATTATTTCCAACTCATGGGGTGGACTAAGAATTTTCCTTACATTTTCTCTAGAAACGTGAAAATTCATTTTCCTTCATTTTCTCTAGATAAGCATGATAAATCTTGATAACTAAAGCTTCAGTCCATATATGATCCTAAACAATTTTCATGTGGTTCAAACATGGCATCCAATTCCATTCTGCTTCCTCAAGACAGCAACAGTAAACTGAGAGTAGTTTACTTTATTGAAAAAAATACTATAATACTACACATCAAAGTACATCCATAAGAACTCAATTCTCATGCATTAAAATAAAACAATTGACAAAGATTTTGTCCTCAAATGAACAAATTTCACTTCAAGTAAACAAATCTAAGACCAACAAGAAACAAAGTACAAAGTTTATCTTTGAGTGTTAGTTAGCTATTTAAAGTCTATTTCTTTTGCCAAGGATTGTCTTCATAATAATAGGCAGTGCCAACCATGAGTGCCACTGTAGCAGCTTGGACAACCACACGTGCCCTCATTAGCTTCTGGCCTAACTGAGAATTACCTTGTCTAAAGCTGATTAAGCCAGCCGTTAGTACACCGGCAGTAATAAATGCACCTGAAATTAAACCAGCAAGTTAATCAAAGAACAATACTAACCAACAAAGTTAAATGAAATGTCGAGACAAACATGCGATTGAATTACCACATGAAATGAAAAATGTTATGTTCAACAATCTCTAATCATTGAGCAATGTAAAATTGATGTTCAACCATTTCCAATTCACAACTCTTTGCATATAACAATGAAATTTTGAAATTATCAAATCCCTTTATTCTTCCTATATATATGCAAACAGACTCAATATTATTTCCAAATTGGCACGCATGGTGAAAGGTAGCATTCTTGAGAGAGACAAACCCATACAAGAATTTTATCACTGCATCTTATGTCCTTGGCCTCCAAACACAGAAAAAGGAATGAAATTTTCAATATTTAAGTTATGGAAATCATTTCCTAAATCCATCAGCATTCAATGGTAAGTAATAGTGAGTAACTTATGAAGCTCAGAGCCTCGGACACAAACACGATATGGACACCTATAACAATTTGATAAAATAAAAGTGATTGTATGGAATCACTACTCACTAGTGCTCTACGACACAAACACGATATGGACACCTATAATAATTTGATAAAATAAAAGTGATTGTATGTAATCACTAATGTGTTTTGCACCAGCTACAAACAAGGCCAAAGATAAAGGCCCAATGGTAAGGCAAAAGGAATCAAGCGTAGAGCAGGAAGACTCTATCTCTCCTTTGAACAGAGAGCTCTGCTGGCCGTCCAGATCTATCTAACAAATGACCGCGATCCAGCCTCCCTCCACGATTTCAGTTGGCAATCGTTTCTCCTATTTAAGAGGGAAAGCGCGCTATTTCTCAGGTATTCAAATTCCTTCTCATTCACACATCTCTTACTGACTTGAGCGTTGAACTGCTAACCTTGCAGGTCAATTCCCTCTCCACTGCATCAAAAGCTCGGGACCACCGCAACAAGCTCTACCTCCTCGATTACCGATCAACTCTGGTTTCACTACGGAACATTTACCCATTTTGTCTATCATTGCATAATTTCAAAATATCATAGCATTTCCCTAATTAAAAACCTTGTAAACTCTTTATATCCTACCCTCGTCCCCTAACTTGAGTAACCGAATTTGGGGGAAAACGAAGATAAACCTAATCCCAAAATCCAAATCAATACAACAAATCAGAGATGTGATGAATTGAAGTTGAAAGCGTGAAATTACAGGATGAGAATAAAGAGATGATTTACTTACCAACTGGGACAAACGGGTTCCTGCGCTTCTTGTCTTGAAGAAAATCTTCGAAACCGGGTTCTGAACTACCCATGTTGATGATAATGAATCGAGGTTCAGTCCGAATTGGACCAAGCGAGAGTCAGTTCGCCGAATCGATCAATATATATCAAGTCGGTCTCGCGCAATTCCAAATTAACACTTTGTTTTAGGAAGTGTTTTTTTTCTTTTTTTCCTTTCAGATTCTCTTAAATACGGTGAATTAATTGTTTGTCTTTACGTGGTTGTATCACGTCCATTTGCTACTATCTATTAAAAAGATTATTAGATTACATACAACACATGTTGTGCTTTTGTAAAAAAAAAAACTAAATTTTGTTTTTTTAGGGTTATTTCTTTCTTCAAACGATTGATTGAAAATAATAAAATACTATTCATAAATAAATAATTTGATTGAACGATTGTATATATTTTCTCGTGCATTCATCATATCTTTTGTTTCAATTTATGAGAAAATTTTCATATTCGACACAAATGTTGTGGAGGGAGATTGTCTATCATTAACAATGCTTGCAAACCCTTTTTTCTTCCACCCTATAAATATACATGCATCTCATATGACTAGAGCAAACAATCAAAATACAATACCACTTCTGGATTGTAAGTTGTATGTATTTCTCATATTTGATTCATATCACTTCTCTGCTTCTTTTTTGTAATATCTTTCTCGGTTTTGATTTGTTGTTTTTTTGTTGTGTATCTAATATATTCTATGATTTTGATTTGTTGTATTTTTTATTTTTGATTTATTTATAAGACGTTGAATCGACGTATGCAATGGATCTGATCGCTTCCAATTGAGAAGCTATGGAAGTTGCCATTGATAAAATTTTGTAACGAACAAGTGATGGAGAGGTCACGGTTTTGATTTGTTGTTATGGTTAGCGATAATTTAACAAACATTAGGAGTTAGTTTAACACAAATTTCGTTGAGTATGCTTTCATAGTGGACCTAGCTTCAATTAGGACTTTTGAAGTTTATAACGTGGTTTGGTTCATGATTTAAGAAACAAGAGATAAAAGGCTCGAAATTGGAAATTTAATCCACCACATTCTCCTTGATGTTCTCCATTCCTAAACTCAATTAACTCAACAGATGCATTCAGTCTGTAAGATAATTTTTGTAGTCATGATGATGATGAAAAGCACCGATGCGATTCAAGCACTTAATGAGAAGCATTAATAACTCTTGAGGTGGTAGTCACATGTTTATTTTCCATTTTCTTCGCTTTTAATCCCTTATTTTTGCATGGACCAATTCTTTTGAATTTTTCGGTCCATCGGGATGCTCTAACTTTTGCCTAAGTTAACTATTTTCATTTTTTTGGATTTTTTCGTTTTGACTTAGCGGGCTTTTTTTTGAATTTTTTTTGGGAAACAAATCTTGAGTTTTTTGCTTTTGGTTTAGAGCAATTATGACTGCCATGTTGACTTCTGTGAGCTTCATCTTTGTTGCTTCCTCGGTCTTGGATGATGTAGGTGAGGAAGAAGATGATGTGAGCTTTATCTTCATTGTTTCCTCGATCTTGGATGATGTACGCGAGGAAGATGATGTGCTTAAACCTCTTGCTTAGATTGACTGATTCTCTTGAGATTAGAATGCATCCATGAATTCATTGAAATCTACCCCGCCCCTGGTTAAAATTAAGGTTATTTTAAAAAAATAGAAAGAACTTCAACTTGTGGCTCGAGGGGATTGACTACGAATTATCTCCTTATTTCTACAATGTTTATGAAGTGAAACAATATCTTACATCGTTAGCCAGGTCTTACTATTAAAAATCATATGTCAGCACAATTCAGTTATTTTGTTATTTACATCATTCTCCCTTAAGTTTGTTAAAAGTAAAAGATGAAAATGGAAATGTGAAAAGCGAAATGGAAAAGTATAATTGATATTTATGGAAGTGATGATAATGAAAGAGTGAATACGAATGGATTGACTTTGAAAACATGCATGATTATTTTATTAGAATTAAAAATCAAAGAGTACAAAGTTTACGATCAATAACACTTAGCAACAAAGCAATTACAAATTGGAAATGATAAAGACCTAATAATTCTAGGGATGAGCTTCTTTGTTGATCCACTTGACTTTAGGAGATGCTTCTGGATATTTTTGCATTGTTGAAGTAAGGGGTAACCTTTTCCTTTTCTTCATTTGGGCATACCTCTTTTACTGATAGGGCAGTTGCTCTTGATATTGTTGCCTTTGATGTACGAGAGCTACCCTCAATAGTGGCATCTGAGGCATTGTGTAGGCTTGTAGTTTTCATGGTGAAGGGATGCCTTTTCTCTCCAATAGGATTTATATCTCTTGAGTTTCTCCATAGCTTTTTTTAGTTCATTTATGAGTATCAGGAAACTTGTTAGGTGATGATTATTGTTGGATAGGGGCGAAGATGGAAAAGATGTGTTAATTTATTTTAATGACATGCAAATGTATGTATGAGAATGCATGGGTATGCAAAAATATTTTATTATTTTTAAGGTCATGCTAAAAAAAAATTCATGGAAATGCAATGTAATGCATGGTTATGATAAAGATGGACCTAAGGATACCTTATACGTATTTAGGGATATATGTACAATAAGAAACCTCTACAAGCTAGGGACTATGACATAAACGGAGGCCCTACAGATGACAGTTAAAAGGAAATCCCTACAGGTTAGGGATCATGACACACAAAATGGACCCCTATAGGCAAGGGATCGTGACATACAAAGGAAAATCTCTACAGACTAGATATTATGATAGACAAAAGGGGAAACCATACAGGCTATGGATAGTGATAAACAAGAGGAAATATTTACGAGTTTAAGAATTGTAATGGATAGAAGGTAACCCTTACGGGTTTAGGGATAATGATAAGATATCCTTTACGAGAAGGTTCTCTATGAAGGATATGATGTAAATTAAAAATCCTATAAGAGGGCTCCTATGGGAGTTCTAAGTTTTTCTATCCTTTCCCATAAGGGTGGTTTCCTTAAGGTATCATGGATAACACAAAAGGGAAAAGGCACAAGGGTATCCCTTAAGTGGATCCTCTTTGTAGACCAAGACTTTCGTCTTGTAAGTTGTATAAGGTATCACCATGAGAATTTTTTTTTGGGATTATTCATAGAGTCATTGATCAAATTTAAAGTCCTATCTCTAAGATAGACTAGAGCTCTAAAGATATTCCTTGGAATTCGATCCACTCTAAGTGAAGTTGTCACAAAAACTCATAAGGATGTTAAACCCCCTTGGCCAATTGACAACCCCTTATCTAAGGTTTATTATTAATTTATGATCCCACCAACAAATATAAAAACAAAATGATAACAAACAAATAACCATAAATGAGGAATAAATAAATAAAACAAAAATAAATAAGGAAATAACAATATATAATAAATAGAAGAAAAAATCCCCAAAATCCTAAACTTAAAGGTAAGGTAAACTCTAACTTAAGGGTTGTTTCCCTAGCAGAGTCGTAAGCTGTCGTAACCGACAAAAAATACGAGAATTGCCACCACTACTTATTTGTCCTAAGGACAGGAAAGAAACGGAAAATCCATAATGGTTTAGAGATTACTAGGTTCGCAAGTTAATTAGATAAAGGGAAGGTATTAGGAACCCTTTTGAAGGTGTGAGAAACACAAAAAATGGGGGTTTGAATTGGGTTTCATCAAATAAAATCTTTTCGTTGGTGACAATACAAGTTAGCTTAGAACATAATAGTAAATAAATACGATGATATTTATCTTGGTTTGTTGTTAACTAAGTTACTCCAGTCCACCCTGTCAAGAATGATTTCGCCTTCAACAAGGACTTAATCCACTATAACCAAACTGATTACATAACAACCCAGAGTAAGTCTGATCAACCTTATTGGCACCCCCAATAAGTCCATCGATCCTTATTTCAAATCCACTCAAGCCGCAGCAGAATTCTTCTTGAGATCAGACCTTCACTCAATCTCTCAAGGTATCATTCAACAACAGTTGAGTACTTGCAGTGTATTACAGATTTGCTTCTTATAAGCAGATTACACAGACTTTTCAGTACAATGAAAAACACCTAAGTGCCTACTACAAGATACGAGCAACAACTCCTTGCTTATTTACAAAACTATACACAGATGATTTTTCTATAGAGTTTGCATAATTCTTTGGTGTAGTTTTATTGAACTTGATTTTAACCGATAAATTTGTCATTGTAGTGTTGTTTCTTACTGTTCTTCAGCTTCCAAGTCTTCCTTTTATAACTTATAAAACAGATTCGTTGAAAAGATAGAAAGGTAAATCGGGAATCTAGTTGTTGGTTTTTAACGATCATAATGACAGTGGTCACAGTAAAGTATGAAAGGATTGTCCTTGCGCCACTCTAGAAGAGTAGATGTCACAAATATTTTATGTACCTTTTTGTACACCACCGCATGTTAACCATTTTGAAGTTTCTTCTTATTTTCAGAGGCTTCAGATATTTGAATGTTTACCGTTGAAGCTTGTTGTAGACGAATATTTCTTAAGCCTTAGAACCTAAGTCTTTGAGTCTTCAGAACTTGCCACATAGAACCTTGTCTTCAGAGTCTTCAGCACTTGGTTGTAAGAACTTGCTTTTCTTCAGATCATCAGAATTTGTTCTACAAAACCTCGTCTTCATAATCTTCAAAACTTATAACACATAAGTAAAGCTTTAGAAGGCCTCTAAAGGTTAACCATAAAGTCACGATCAGAACCTCTTGTACTAACGTTCTTAAGATATGTTGCAGAAGATAAGTTCAGAACCTTGACTTCAATGAAACACGTAACCACATGTTTTCTTCCAGTAGTGTATGTTTAAAACCTAATGACATCACATTCCTTGTATCAGAATCAGAATATTACAGCAACAACTACACACTAGAACAAAACTATTAGTGTATATAATTATTCTCTAAGATAACATGTAAAGTTATCATCAAAATCTCAAGGCCAGATGTAGAAACACTTCTTGTTCTTACACCTTTACCTCCCTTGTACTCAAGGGAATCCTTTTTAGCTCTAGGAATTATGGGGACTATTTCTTTATTTCATTGTATTATCATGCATAATAAAAACAAGGGAAATTTTAGTTTTTTTAGTTAGTGGACTCGTCTTGGTTTTTCAACTGTGTGCCTACGTATCTTCTTAAGAAGAAATCAGAGTCCTTCGTATTTCGAAGTATGTTTGGTTGATGTTTTTTATAGGATTGTATTAAGTTGCTTTCAAATGATTTTAAACTCGTCCGGATTTGAAAATTGAGTGATGGTAGGCGAAGTTTTTATATTCATATAGAAAGTAACTTGACAATCCCTTATTCAAAATATATTGGATTTGATTATGTTAGTGAAAAAATATTTTTGGATTGGTTAGTTATTTTGAATTTGATTTGATTTTTGAAGAAGATTTGATCTTCCTTAGAATTAAATTGTGTTAGGCGAAGAAATTCATTTTTATAAGGAGTTGATTCTTATTAGAATTAAATCGCGCAGGGCGAAGAAATTCATTTGATTTGTTGGTGATTTTTTAGATGTTTTTATTTGAATAATTAATTAACAAGGCGTTAAATCAACTAATCGATTATTCGAGGATGTGGTGGACGTAAAATCCACCAATTCTATTATTTATAAAACTTTTGAATTAATTTAATTGTGAAAAAATGTGATTTTATGTTTGTAAATTTATATTAAATAAATTAAATGACATAATAGCTAAATTAATTAAATAACAAAATAATAAAATAAAATGTAAAAGGGGTGTGTTAATTGTTTGGAGTGTTAGAATGAGTAAAATGATAGAAATCTAATAATGGTTCAATGAAAGCCCAAATTAAAACTAAACCTAAATTAATGTCTTATAAGATAATAATATTGATAAAAGAAAAAAAAATAATAACCCTAAGTACTACTAAGGAGGACACGTTTCAGATCTCCGGTGTGCAGTTCAGTATTGAATAGAGAGGATCTCGTGGTTGTTGCGGCCGGGCGTGATGTTGTAGGTGGCGTGTCGGTGTTTATGATGGTGTCGTTGTAGTGCGGTTTCGTCAGCTTCGATAATCAATCACTTCCTCTCCTACTTTTCTTCAACTCCTACAAAACACAATGATCACTTCCTCTCCTACTTTTCTTCAACTCCTACAAAACACAATGTTTTTTCCAAATTTTTGTATTGAGCCTTCTTATTGTTTATGAATTCAAAAATTTCTTCTTAATTGTAAAAATTTGTTGTTGGAACTCTTGCTGAAAAAATATTACATGAAATGGCTATTTTCTCACGCGGTAGTATCTTGTATTGTTACATGGAAAAATATGAGGAGAATTGACTTTCATTTGGTTTGACAGCAACAAAGTTTTTTCTTCTGAAAAATAAGATCACGTGTGAGAATATCTTTTTAGCATAAAAGAGTTATAAATTTTGATTTCGACTAAGAAAACATTAGTTGTGATTCTGAAAAGGAAGTTTGTATAAAAAGAAAGGAAATTGATTTAAGAGAAATTCATATACAAAGTGTAAAAATAGTTTAAAATGATAATATAATCATGTGCTAAATTCTGCATTTTGTATATATAAGAACATCTCCAATGATGCTATTCATATTTAGGTTTTTTGTGGGACCTATTAAGCCACATCATTTTGAAGCAACTCACTCTATTTTTCATTTCAATGGTGCAATTTTAAAGAACTTATATTGGGTCTCATAATTTTACTTTGTATGTTAATATTTTATTCATACTAAATTTTATTTGATTTAAAATAATAATTTAAATTATTTAAATTTAAATTAATATAAAATAAATAAAATTAAAATTAAACATAAAATTTAAAATAATAATTAAAATTAATCTCAAATACATGACATATAATTAAAAACAATAAAAATAAATTGCATAACATAATTACTCAAATTTAATTTCCATCGTCCTCATGTCCAAAACGTTCTCAAATATGCTCGACTAGATCTCCTTGAAGTTGACGATGAACTTGTTTTTCACGAAGAGTTGCTCTTCTTTGTAGTCTTGTTGCAAGATTCGGATGAGGACCGTTAAATGTTTCAGTCGTTGAGTTGTTGTTACCGACATTATCGTAAGAGTAATCAAAATCACCTCCATATGTGTGTCGTTCGTCTTCGACAATCATGTTGTGCAATATGATGCAAGCATATATGGTATGCTTGAGGGTTTCCATGTGCCAAGCACGCGCTGGACCACATATTATTGCAAAACGAGATTGAAGCACTCCAAATGCCCGTTCCACATCCTTTCTAGCTGATTCTTGGTGTTGTGCAAATAGTTTTCTCTTTTCTCCTTGTGGCATCGAAATAGTTTTGACAAATGTAGCCCACTCAGGATATATTCCATCCGCTAAATAATACCCCATATTATAAAGAGTTCCATTGATTGTATATTGCACATTAGTAGCACGTTCTTCCAAAATATCGTTAAACACATTGGATTGGTTTAACACATTAATGTCATTGTTTGAACCTGCAATACCAAAAAATGCATGCCAAATTCACAAGTCTTGTGATGCCATTGCTTCAAGCATGATCATGGGTTTACCATGATCACCTCGACAAAACTATCCTTTCCATGCAACAGGACAATTCTTCCATTCCCAGTGCATACAATCAATGGAACCCAACATACCTGGAAAACCACGTGACTCACTCATTTGTAAAAGATGTTCAATATCAGTGTTGTTAGGCTTTCTCAAATACTCAGTCCCAAATACAACATTCACACCCTTAACGAATCTTTCTAAGCACTCAATTGAGGTACTTTCACCGATTCGAACATATTCGTCTATAATGTCAACGGGAGACCCATATGCCAACATACGAATAACAGATGTGCATTTCTGCAATGGTGAAAGACCCATCTTACCAGTTGCATCGACCCTTATTTGGAAATATTCATCATGATTGCCGAGGGCATCTACAATTCGAAGAAACACATGCTTATGCATTCTGAACCTTCTTCGGAATTGTACATCTGTGTATACTGGATTTTCTGAGAAGTAGTCATTGAATAATCGATTGTGCCCTTCTTCACGACCTCGATCTACCGTAGTTCTTCTCTTTGGCCTAGAGGAACTTCTAAATTGACATTCATTTTGAAGATGTTGTTCTTCATCACTGTCGTCCATAAATTCTTCTTCAACTAACTCCCAAAATTCTTGATCGTAATTATCTGAATTGTCTGAATCCATTTTAGTGAGGAATAAGAAGAGAATGAGAAAACAATGACATAAGTTGTAGTATATATAATGGTTTGAATAAAGGCTAGTTATTCATAACGGCTAGTTTGAATAACGGCTAGTTTGAACAACATAATATTTATTATGATTTAAAGTGGTACTAATGACCATTTTACATAGGATTTGATAAATTAAAGTGGTACTAATGACCATTTTACATATAATTTAAAGTGGTACTAACTACAGTCCATATTTTTTTTCTTCATTTTATTACAATATTTTTCATGAATATCTCGTTGACTTTCGTTCATAGTAGAAGTGTCTTTCATCATGATTTGCATTACCTTTAACTCTATCTCGTCCTCCTTACTTTACGCAAGTCTTTCCATTGTTTCTGCTCTTTTATTCCTTGCATCTTGCGTTGCATTTGAAATTTCCTTTGCCTTACCCTTCCTTTTTGCTGCTTTTTGTCCCATTGGACGCTCCATTGGTGATGATGAGTTAAACTCATAACTTGAAGGTGTATCAGGGATCTCCGATGATGCCCCACTAGCAGAAGTCTGTGTCATTTTTGAAGAATTTCCAATCGATTCTCCGATGATGCCCCATTTAGCTTCATCTTTTAACAATCGCCATGCATACTCAAGATTGAATGTTGTACCTTAATCTTGAGCATAAAAAGCATGTGCATCAGCCATGATATCGTTCTCCGATATCCCACTTTTCTTTCCATTGACAGCTTATCTATAACACCCAACAAATTTTTGAACCGATGCATTTATTTGATGCCATCGACATTTTAATTGACCACTTAACTTTTCTCGCAATTACCCGTGATACTGGTTATAATTTGCAGCGATTCTATGCCAAAAACTCTCAGCTTTTTGATCAACTCCCACAATTGGATCCTTTGAAACATTGAGCCATGATTGGATAAGATATATATCCTCATTCCTTGTAAATTGCTCTCGAGATTTTTTTTAACGAGAACCCTTTCTTCTTTTTCAACACCAACTTGAGTAGAAAATGGTGGAACTTGAGAATTTTGAGGATTAGGATTTTGATACATATTTGGATTGTTTGGTGACGGAAAAAATATGGCGGGGTTTAGTGGTACTGATGGAATTTGAGAATTTTGAGAATTAGGATTTTGATAATTTTGCATGAAATTGAACATAGCTTGTTGATAATGAAAATGATTAGGATCCATTTGGCCTAAACAAATGCAATTTGAAATAAAAAGATGAAAATTTGAAATAAAATGATAATGAGAAGAAATTGTTGGGAAGAAATTAAAAATTTATGAATAAAATGATGAAATTGTGAGAGAGAAATTTGAAATTAAAGAGTAAATAAAAGTGAGAGAAAATAGGATTGGTATACAATTTTCCAACAAACCTATATTTATAATAAATAAAAAAAGTTAAAAAAATAAATAAAAAAATAAAGTCGTTGCACAACGACTAATTGATTATTTTAATAATAAAAAAATATGAAGAGCCGTTATATTTGTACCGTTCACCAGCTGGAACAACTTTTTTGTTGACAATTTCAATACCAAGCTGGCAAACCAATCTGAAAAACCACCGTTGGAGGTGGTCTAAGGAATTTCGTGAATTGTGACTTATGAATGAAGAGAATTTTGTAGATATTTATATATTTAGAAAATTGAAATTTTCTAATGAATAGTATAGTTAAACGTGTAAAGGTGAGAAACTGTTGACTCAAATATGTATAAAAAAATCTATCAGGTCATCATCATATGGTTGCAAAAGAAACAAAAAAAAAAAGAATTGAAGCTACAAGGGAGACAGGGCGGCTTCATATTTGAATCATCGGCCAAAAATTAAAATAACAGTAACACCAATAATATTGAAAAGAAAATTTGAAAAGTGAAGTGTTATGTCATGCTTGCAAGATTTACTTCTTTATCAATTGTGCTATGTCATTTATTTGAAATAAAAAGTCAATTGAAAGTATATGAAAGTCCAACAAATATTTGTTATTTAAAAAATACAAATAATTTAAAGTAAACTATCATATATTTTATGAATAAGAAAAATAAATTATTGTTAAAATGTTAGTAAAATAAACTTATTTTAATCTAAACAAATAATTTTAAAATCAAACTAGTTAAAAGAAATTATTATTATTATTATTATTATTATTATTATTATTATTATTATATATAAGGAGGGATATTTTTACTCCAAGAGTAAGTTATTAACACTTACTCCACATCTTCGTCATTGATTCTTCTCAATCCAATAGTTAGAAATATTAAGTAATAGTTCTCTCTCTCTCTCTCTCTCTCTCTCTCTCTCTATATATATATATATATATATATATATATATATATATATATATATATATATATATATATATATATATATATATATATATATATATATATATATAAATCTAAATGTTAGTAACAAATATAAAAATCCAATTTTAAAAATAATTTGACTGTTCAAACGGGGTGAGAAAAATTGGGGTATGACACATGTCGAGTATCAAGATACCAGACTCGACTACTACCACACGTGAGAGGCTGTGAAATGCAAATTATTCGTGTTAATCCTTAAAGGAGCCTTAATGGTGTTGTTTAAGGCCCTTCTCTACAAAAGCATAAACTCATAAAAGGAACTTTGTGACTCTTTTTCCGACCAACTCACTGCTCAAAAGCAAAAGCCCACCATGATAGCCATACTTAGTGGGACTAAAATAAGAAGAAAATCTTGCGAGAGTACATTAATCGGTTTGCTAAAGTAGTAGTAGAAGTAGGGGAATGAACGACGACTTAAAGTTTTGGATATTCAAAAGGGGTTTGAGACTATACTAGAATGTATTTTTTTCAAAATTAAATAGGGTGTTTTTACTCTAACTTATTGTTGCGGGTTATGCAGTTGTAATATATCTTCATCTTAGTTTCATAGAACATATGTGATTGGGTTATTTGGGGTGGTAATATGCTTACTTTAGGAAGGTTTTACATAAATACTTACGGGAATGTTAACACATGTAATTGTTTGAAATGTTAGCAAAGAGAACCATGGTTTCTAGTATGGTAGTTCAACATGAATTTATGAAAAAATGCTAGTAGGAGTTTATGAGGTAAGATAATGGGGCAACATGAAAAATGCTATAAGATTGTAACATTGTAGAAGAAAAAGGTTAAAGATGTCAACATGAGAAATGAAGAAATGAAGATTAAGATGAAATTACTGAAGAAACTTTTGAAGTTTAACTTGATGATTACCATGTTTGTGTTAATTACATTAGTTGCTTCAATAATAATGAAATAGGATCTTGGTTGAATTTTATAACATTTCTGGTTTAGGCTCTACATTGTAACATTTGTTTGTTAGGATCTATGTTGTAACATTTATGGTTCTATGTTGAAAATATGTACTTTATTGGAATAATTCTGGTTGATTATTGAATGAAATTACATTTGGTTCACAATTGATATTTGACACTTGACAGTTGATAATTGAGTAACATAATTGTAATACGGTGGAAGAACTGACTTGGGTGTTTTGTATTTTATCGCAAATGTTGCAGATAGCAAGAGTCGCCACCGACTTTTCTTTTATCCAATAGGAAATGGTGAAAAGAACATGAAAGACCTTTTGAGAATTTTCTTGAGTTCGGGGAGTAGGTTATGAAAAGGGAAGGTGTTAGCACCCTTTTCACCCGTAGTTATCGACAGGATCTTAATTGATTGATCACTTTGAAATGCTTTGTGTTTGTGTATGTTTGAAGGTATTTTGAAAATGATAATTTTGTAATGATTCTCGTATCGTTGATAATGTATACAAAATGTTTGTTTTGGAAATATTTTGAAAACGCCTTAGTGCGTCAATTTTGCAATGATTCTCATATCATTGAGAATGTATATAAAATGTTTTGTTTTGAAAATATTTATTAAAAGGGAGTGTTTGGAAATATGTTTGTTTTTAAAAGTGTGAGGTGTGAAATGGTTTTAGTTTGTGAGGAAGCGATTACGAGCAATCTACCTACTCAAAAAGTCTTGTTCTTTTCCTCCTCCTTTAGATAGTGCTACTTCATCATTGGTTGGTAGAGAGTCATATCATTGGATGTGAGGGACGGGCGTGAGTCATCGCACAGTCATAGAAGGCAACTTGTAAGATGTTTTAGTAATTTGTCATAAGGGACTAAGATCGTTTACCGAAGACAACATTGAAGGGTCATCGAGGAACTACGATCTTTTAATCGAGGGCATTTGCTAAAACATCCCACATTCGAGGGACGTGACTGTTTATATCCGAGACAACAAGTGTGGGTTACCCTAGGGGTGCATGTGTGCAAAGTGTTTTGATTTCAAATATATTGTCTTTGAATTAGGGTTTTTATATGGTTTGATTTTAAGTATTATCATGCAAACCCTAATTTCTAACAATAATAAGGAAAGCGATATATTATGGAATTTAAATGTCCTACGCTATTACAACGCTTTGGGAATAAGGGGTACAAGTTTGTGAATAGGGGAAGAAAACAATAAAGCCCTAATTATCTATTACAAACCATTGAATATGCATAATAATAGAATATACAAAATGTAAAGAGAAAGAAATTGTTTTTAGGGTTTTTTGATGGAGAAAAAGGTTTTATAGTTAACCTAATTAGACTAAATAATTTTATTTACAAAAAAAGTTAATTAATTATTGACAAGACCTAAAATCTAATTTCATTGAAATTAAGAATAAAATAAAACCTAAGTCTAAATAATTTGTTTAGAAAATAATTTGAATGTTAATGTTAATTTAGGAAAATATTTTAAAGTGTGAAAAATAAACAAAATCTAGTTCTAGATATTAACAAAAATAAAAGAAGTGTTTAAATTAAAATATTTAATTATTTAATTATTTAAGAAAATATATTTTTGGTATTTTTTGTTTAAATAAATAAATAAATAAAATATAAAAAATATATAAAGAATATAAAAAGTATTCGGCTGGGTGTTAAAAAGTGAAATGGGGGTTAAAAGTAGAAAACAAGCCTAAATGTGGTTTTTTTGTTTGAGTCAGATAATAAAAAAATGAATGAATGGGTCTGTGTTGTTTTTAGTAAGAAGGGGGTATTAAAAAGTAAAAACAAAAAAAAAGGAGGCCTAAATTTTGAATCTAACGCCTGTTTTGATCCCATGTGGCTGACTTTTTGGAGATGCATCATAGGCTTTCCATGATGGAGCACTAGATTTGAATTACTGAACATCCAATGGTATTGATGAGGGGTACATGATGAGCGCTCCCAACCTGCTTGCACTGAATCTGAAATAACAAATTATGAAATAAACAAAAGGGTGTCGCTGGGGCTCGAACCTAGATCCCTATAAACTAATGTCTTACGCGCACTTCTTCTACCACTAGGGTGGCTGTTACATCCGGTAGTTGTTTTACCCCAAAATTTTCCCTCCCATTTCACTCAAGACATGACCATTGAAATCCCCAACCTGCCCTAGGATGACCAAAAATTGACCAAACAAATCCTCCTCTTAAGACAATAAGCCTCAAACTAGGGTTCCACTCATCATAAAGATGGTTGAGTTCCAAGGATCCCAAATGGTCTCCATTGTCCTAATATGTCCTCAAGATCATCCATGCCAAGTTTCATGCCTTGCACAACAAGTTTGCTCAGTCAACTGCTCAAATGCCTGAAAATCAGCTATACTAGGTCAAAAGTCAACTGTGGCCCAAATACAATCAAACTTCAAGATTTTTGGTCAACATAAACATTTTAAATTAATATCCATCATTTGATCAAGGTTTGATCATGATTCCTCAAGAAATTCTCCTAACTCATCAAAAGTCAAAAATGACAAATTAGGGTTTCTATAGGAAAAGTCAACCAAACTTTGACCAGACATAACTTTCTCATACTTTATCAGAAATTTTCCAACCAAGGCTCATTTTGAAGAGAATACAATTCCCTACAATTTATCTTCATCCCTCAAGTTCAATAAATGCCTCAATCAAAAGATATAAGTTCAGACATTATAGGTCCATTCAAAAAGTCAACAAAAACACCTTTTGGGTTAAAGCTCCTTACATGAACATGGAAGATCCAATTGAGATGAGACCAAAAGGGTTATTTATAGGACATCCTAAGCTTTCTAAAAAGTCCAAGAACACCCTCTTAGGGTTAAAAATGAGAAATATATGCATTGCTAAAATTGACCAATTT